AATAGCGAATAGGGAGGCTCTTCCGAAAATAAATACTGGGCAACGAGTTCTGCGGCAATGGCACCCGATATTCGCATCTTTCTTCAACTATTGAAGACATCTGTCACGATTATGATCTGGCGCATCGACGGCCTTAGTACCGACATAGATGCTTTCGGCAAATTTTGGTCCTAATATTGTTAACATGGAACTTCACTTGATTTACCACTATAATAGGGGTTCGGAGTTAACTGACTATGCCCAGGCCCCAACCTCATCTTGGTTTGGGATCAATTATGGCGATTACTGGAGAGGAGCTGAAAGAGCACATATCTGGACATGTCATTTCGTCTGAATTCAAAATTTTTTGCTGGAAAGTCTTGTGAAACTCAAGCAAAGGAACGAGAAAGATTCTCGGGCTTGCGGAACCGAAACGAAGTTTCAGATGAAAACGATGAAAAGGGGGCGAAGAGAGTTACTGATTAATGGAAACCGGAAGTGTGCAAAGCATGATGTATTACGCGAAACTGAAAGAAGTAAGGGAAAGATTCCCGGGTTGCAAGATCGAAACGAAGTTCTAGACGAAGATGACGGAAGTCAACCGAGGAGAGTCAAAGGAAACCATAAATACTCTGAACCTTTTTTTCCGTGTACCAAAAGCAAGGATTAGGAGTTTGAGACTCTACGCCGCCCCTGTAAATGTATTCAAGACTCTCATGCGGAGGCCAAATCAATCTGTAAATCCTCGTTGCTAGGAACTATAAATTATATACTAGCTCAACAGGTATCACCAATCTTGAATTCATTTTTGGCCTTGGGTCCCTAGCGGGCGTCAATGACGCCGGATTTAGACATTTTTCGCCCATTAACATCTATTCGCCCTCGAGTTTCTTCAGTCGGTATATACCTACTCCAGCATCCGGTAGCTTCAGCATAGGCTCTTTCAGACACCCTCTTCCTCTGAAATTCACCTCTTCCAGCATCCAAAAATTGAAGGCACGGGCGACCCCAATGTGGATGAAACCGCCCGAAATTTCTTGAGAACTTCGGGCACTTTCGTCCACTTGCCGGGTAACTCAATCCATTCCTGGAAGTCACTCCTTCCGGCGTCCACGTTTTCTGACACCATTTCTTCAGGTATCCACTTCCTCTGACGTCCATTCTTTGCTGAATCTACTCCTTCCGGAACCAATTTTTTCTACATCTCCTCTGCTCAGCATCTATCAACTTGGGTCCCTGATTTTTCGCATCTCCTCATTTCGGCCCTCTCTCAATTTACCATCTATTTTCCCTCCGTCCACTTGTGCTATTATGCATTTTCCCTAGCCTTAACTCTGACCCCGATTCTGATTCTTTGACCGCTCCTCCAGGGTCTGATTGAAACGCCTCGACCCTCCAATCTCCAACCAGAACACGACTGGAAGGGTCTAGTCAGCCATACAGCCACCATATGAATCCATTTGAGTGTATTATAATTACCCTAATTTATTATCGGACCCACTCCTGCGGTCCCCAAAATTCTGGGTCCAGGTGGCTGAGCATCCCCCGGGACCGCGAAAATCGAATTGGGGCTTAGCGGGCAAGACATACTCCTAGCAGAACACACTCATTATCCTTCGATTTGCACGATCGCGTTGCCTTGTTTGTGAGGTATTTTATCTCCTCCACTTCCTCCTTCACTGTCGCGTTCCAATTCTGGTGGAGGGACACTACGAACCGCATCATCTTTAGCAAACATACTCTGGCTCTAAACTGTCTATGACTATGGCTACAAAATATTTTATGAATCCAAAAAAAAAAGGTACATAGATAAGAGCATTTTTAATTCGGCTGGGTCCACAGGGTGGAGTGTAGGTTGAAATGTCAAGTGTACCTTATTTTCATCCCTTCATTCCTCCTCGTATACCTTATCAAGCCGTGCACAAGATAGAGATGATCCTTCAAGCCTGGTTCGTCTTTTTAAGTGATTGACAATCTACTCCTCTTTCACACTTCAAACGAGACCCTACTTCTCAAGTGCCGCTATCTTGCATGACCGACGCCCGTAAGAGAAGAAGTCAAAGAAGTACTGGTCCTGATCTGCCCTACCTATTTCGTAACCCCTCAACTTCTTCACGAAATCCAAGCCCCAGTCGCTCATGCTTCGAACACTATCGATTCAAGATTTCCTCCAATGATCTTTCCCTACCTGTCTTAAATCCCATCCCCTTCGTATTATTCCGCTTATCACCCTCTTCTTCCACCTCTTGCTGCTTGAGATGTCTAGGATACTTATTTTCAGTTATCTTTATTTGATCCTTTTGATCCACTACAGCCAAAGCGAACAAGCGCCGTCGAGATATTTTCTTCCGCCGTGGCGTGGGGCGTGGGGACTACACTGGTGGATAAGGAGCTTAATTTAGTACGGATGCCTTTCCCATTTTTCCGTAGCAATACAGTACTAGCGCTGTTTGACATTTAGCTATGCAAGAAGAAGTCAACTCTTTTAACCATGTCACCATATTACGTCATAACTCTTAAAAAGAAGTCACTTCCCTTAACCAAATCACTGCCACGTTCTTAGTAGTAAATGAGTAAAGCGGAAGTACTGCAAATAATGTCGCTTGACGTCAAAAAGGCTACGAGGGCCTGGAGTGCGCCACCACTAAGCGAAGGAAGGCTAGAAGAAATGGAGAGGAGTAAAAGCGTCTCAAGCAGAAGGGAGAAAAAGAAGCGCAGGGAAGAAGCAGAAACGTTGCTAAGAGAGAAAAGAAGCTCACTAAAGAAGAGTGGAAGCAAGCTAGAAGAGGGCAGAAGAAGCAAAAGCGTCTTCGAGAAAAGAAGAACCAGAAGGGAGAAAAGGGGAATGAAGATGAAAAAGATATTTCATACACTCCTTCCCCTGAACATAATTTCTTACCAGACTCGGTCTGGTATTGAATTACGCGAGGTTAATCTTTTCGATGATCACCTTCTCGTTTCTTCAATTGGATTTTCAGATCTTGACCTCGACTTCGCTACTCACACCACGAACAGACATCAAGCTTCCGAAGAATATATCCCCAGGGCGCTGATCTCCCTGTCTCTGACACTTGAAACTAGCTTCAGGATGCTAATTTTAAGACACGGGCTTCTAAAACTCCGACTTCCAAGGTGCTAATCTTCCACTCCACTACCCTTCTAGACCCTGACGCTCCAACCCTGGTCCAGCCTACGGGAAAAAACCCCCTTGTCATTTTCCATATGTCCTCGAACAAGATGTAAAGAGTGATGATAAAAAGGCTTGCAAAACGAGAACAACCCCATTTACGTTGAACGAAGAATAAATGAGTATGTCGAGCTCGGAGAACGTCTTGTCTGCTATATCCTTGCACTTTTTAATCTCTCAGAAACATTCTAGTACACTAAGATCTCGCTTTCATATGACTGGGGGAGTGGTGATAGAAGACTCACACCGTTTCAAGGCCAGAAGGGAGCAAATTATTCACCACAAGCTATTCGACTCAGGCTTGAGGATGGGTGGATAACGTACGAGTAGCGATGGAGCGCGAGAATAAAGGATGAAGGGCCCAAAGAGGAATATGTAAGAAGATACTTTTCATTCAGGGTGTGACGGGTAAAAGCGGGCATCCCGCTGGGTCTATCCTGAAATTGGTGAAGATATCGGAGAAGATATCCCAATAGCCTCGGACTAAGAAGAAACATTGAACTAAATGAACTGACCAGGCGATAGTTTATCGAGGCTGAAGAGAGATTTTTCATTAAGTGACTGATGAACCATAGGAGATATACCGAAACAAAATTCTTGCCCTCAGCCGCCTAATCAAGTTAAGTTGGTCGTGATATTGAAAAGTCCCACCGCCTGACTTAGTCACACTTGTGGCCATGAGAATGGAAGTTCGCCTTCGTCGTAATAGCAAACATGTATGTAGCTTAGGAATCCGCATGTGCGCAGATTCGCGAGCCTCATGTATAGATTCTGTTACCGTAAATTGAGCTTGTTGAGCGGCTGAGAGACTGAACAAGATTGCATTAAGGACCTGAGAATCTAGAGGGCAAGAAGAGTCTATATACAGCAAAGAATTGCCAAGCCGGCTAATAGTATGTCCGACCAGGAGGTCGCTCTCACGGCAACAGATTCCTATACCCCTTGTACAGAGTTGGCTGGATTCACAGGCTGTAAGGGCCTTTGGGGGTACCTTGTGTTCACGTTTTGAATTTAGTTCCGGCCTTTCCGGGGCGGAAATATTGCGCTTTCGCCGCAATATCTTCTCGTGAGATGTTGGAGACATGCTTACTAAATTCGGGGGGCTGAACTACAACACTCACCTTTTCTCTACATACATTCTAGAAACAAAGGATACGATTTTAGATATTCCAAATCGGTGCTGCAATGATGGCTTCTATTTCTATGCCAATAATATATACGCGGGATGTGGACGCACTCTCTCCTCTACCCAAGAGACCCTCTCCCGAGTTCCCAGTCTTTCTATCAATACACCTTGAACCAACTCTACGAATGCCTTTGTTGGCATGACATGACGTGTTACGGAATTTCAACACGGTGATAGTCTCAGGTATCCTTCTCAATGGGGTCTCATGTTTTGATACTAGCACTCGAAGCTAGCGCCATAGACTTATGCTTTCAGATGGGAGAAGGCGCATCTCGTGTGTTTTCTAAGATTGGTCTCAAGCTTATTTATATTAATTCCGCGAACATTCCATATTTCTACGCCTGCTCTTCAATGCACAGGTTTGCGGCGGCTTTACCGTACGGCCCAGTAAGTCTAAAGATAGTATATGGGAATTCGGAATCCGTGGTGTCCAACTTCTCTAAGTGATATCATATCAATCACAAGCCTTTTATGCCGGAACTATCCGGCGGGGTAACTTCCGAGTCACCTTCAGTTTCTTGCTCCGATCAAGCTTCGAGAAAAGTGCTAGGGCGACAGAGGAGCAGACAATGTACCTCCGGTGTTTGTCTGTTGCATTTTTTGTAACTATATATTTTATCCAAACTATAAAATCTACATTCAGTGACTGGTGAGATGGCCGAGCGGTCTATGGCGCTAGCTTCAGGTGCTAGTATCGAAAGATGCGTGGGTTCGAATCCCACTCTCATCATTATACGATGACGCTGATTAAATTTTTTTTCATTTTTCATTTTTATTTGCTCTACGTTGTTGCCTTTTGATGGTGCCGGGTTTGCACTAGTATATTTGAGGGAGAGGAGGGAACATGGAAAAGTAGTTTGGGACCGCGAACATTAAACTGCACTGAGAACAACACAAGAGTAATCTCTATATCTTACTTACAAGAGACTATTCGGATTCTAGAAGCTGTATGTATCAACGTTTTTGTACATTTCCCCTCTGTTGTCGTTGGAAGTCCAAATTTCGTCTTCATTTGGTCGTGTGAGATATTCCCTACACAACACTAGCCCCTTTCGTCCTTCAGCCGCAGGAACCGATTTCGTGCGTGACATGTGCACGTGTGCATAATACGATGCTTAGTCTTGGAAGGCCTCATCATTCAAAAGACTCAACGCCCGCTCATGCCCTCGGGCTTCAATTGAGCTCTGCACACTGGGAAAGACCTTCCTTTGCAACACTTGCTTAGCATTCATCTCATGTTCGTCACATAGATTGTATATACCCGCCGCTCTCTGGAAGAGCGGCTTGCTTTTTCTCTCGTTCGTCCCTACATCTTCGGGTCAGCGCTGTGCTTCCTTGTGAAGAGTGAATTGGCCTTCATTTTACACCACCTATTACCATGGTATTCAGAGTCACTTACTCTAGGCGATCCGCCTGGACTATTTTGTTATTACTAGGATCCTTCATTCTTCTGGCATCCGCTCTCCAAAAGATCGAGAGCCCTGTACTTCGTAAGACCCTCCGCTCGACCCTTCGCTCAGCCTTTCAGCCTTCCATCAGAGGTCACAAACCCATACTAACATATCCGCAGCTCTTCTAGATTACGACTCCGGCTACGAAACCGAGAACCAGCATGCGTTCCGCCCTCATCGCCCAACGTTCCCAGAACAGAGCCCCGCTGATTTCGACCAAACCTCCGCAGATTTGGATACATCAGATGGAAACCAGCGTCTCGACGCCTCGGCAGTCGCCAATGTCTTACAAGAACTTCACAACGCGCTGGACACAATGCAACAAGAATACTTCTCTCTGTGGCTTGGGAAATGGACGACCGCCATCGACTGGACGGCTGCGGTTATAGGAACACACCTCTCCGCAGCCCTGTTCTCGCTGTCGCACTCGCTATCCTACACCATGCCCGGTACATTTAACAAACGGAACAAGTTGGATGTTGAGGCACAGATGGTGGAGAATGAAATCAACAAGTATTTCAGTCAGAGCATAACGTATTTTTTCGGTGAGGATCATTTTGCGATTCGCAACCAAGCTTACGATGACATGCTATGGGTTGTCCTGGGCTGGCTTGAAAGCATTCAATTCATTACTACACATTCGGAGAGACACTATCCGCTTTCATCTGGCCCATCCAATGGCGAAAGTGAATGGCACGGAAAACAATTCACACCAGCCTTCGCACACAGAGCACGCATTTTTTATGAATTGGCGTCCAAGGGCTGGGATTGGAAGCTCTGTGGCGGCGGCATGAACTGGAACCCGCATACCAAGTTACCCTACAAGAACGCTATTACCAATGAACTCTTCATTTCAGCAAGCATAGGCATGTATCTACATTTCCCAGGCGACACAAACTGCTCTCCCTTCATGGGCGGCATGGACAGCGGAGCGCATCCCAACTACACAGCATTAGGATTAGATGGGAACGGTGATGCCTCTGCTTGCCCAAGCTTTACGCCTAAAGCGACGTACGACCCTGTGTACTTGCAAGCCGCGATCAATGGGTACGACTGGCTCAAGGGCAGCAATATGACGAACGAGCAGGGATTGTATGTTGATGGCTTCCATATCACGGACTACGGCCATAATGGCAGCATAGGCACCGGGAAATGCGACGAACGCAACGAAATGGTCTACACCTATAACCAAGGTGTCCTGCTCTCCGGCCTCCACAGCCTCTGGGAAGGCACAGGAAAACTTTTCTATCTCGAGGACGGTCACAGACTTATCCGCAACGTAATACGCGCCACAGGCTGGAAGGACTCGCTCTTGCCCACTATTTCTTTCTCGGCCACACCCAAGAACAGACAGAGTTATAGAAGACAGCAAAGACGTCCTCTCGATACTACCACTACAACCCTCAAGCGTCAAGAACAAACAAACCCACCCCTCGACTGGTCCGGCCTTGGCGCCCATGGCATCCTCTCCGAAGCCTGTGACCCTTTCGGCACCTGCTCCCAAAACGGCCAAACCTTTAAATCAATCTTCATGCACCACCTCACACGCTTCTGCTCTCCTCTCCCCACTACTGCAGCCTCCCCGGGTCACACTTACTCCGCATCCCGCGAAATTGCCGCCCTGCATCGTCGCTCCTGCAACGAGTACGCCGCCTGGGTTGTCCACAATGCGCATTCCGCGCTAAAGAATCGAGACAAGAAAGGAAGATTTGGAGGATGGTGGGGTGCGCATGAATACGATGAGGATGGTAAAGTGCCGGATAAGAGGGATGCGCAGCGAGTTATCCCGGTGAATGCAACGGATTATCGGAATAGTCTTGATGGGGATCCAGCGGGTGAAGTTGAGATAAGGGGGATTGTGGGTGCGAACGGGGATTTGAATGATAGAGGGAGGGGAAGGACGGTCGAGACGCAGGGAGGTGGTGTTGCGGTCGTCAGGGCGATGTGGGAGTTTTTGAGGTGGTATGATGATGGTGATGTGTGGTGAGTTGGAAACATGATATCAAGCATTTTTGGTGACATTATGGTTTTGGCAGGCTCGAAGTCGGCGCCCATGTCTTGCGGCGCGAGTTCATCTTCGAACTGGTTTCGGTCTGCATTTTCTTGGTCTTACTGGTTTTGGGGTGTTGTATAGCAGAGCGCGGGTGTGTATCGTGGATGCTGCGTCGGTATCGCATAACGTGACATAAATAGCATTTTGGGGAGACTCAAAGGCTTGAGTTGATTTCTCAGTCTGTAATTACCTGCCGGGAATTGTTCTTCTACATGCACGCCCATCATCTGGGTTTATCCCTTCATTCCTGTAGACCTGATTTCCCTTTGTCCTTGTATCTATATGCCTGCACTTGCTTCGCTATGTCACTCCCTCCATGCACATCTATATCTCATGTAAAGACCACCTGCTTAAGAAGGCACATCCACCCCCACTCTTCTCCTCGACCATAACCTCTCATCGCAATGTATACGCTCTGAGCCTACAGTCTCCCTCACATGATCCCCAAATTCCCGAACCCCGCCAAAACATCTTTATCCACTCTGCTCAACCACTCCTCCTGGAACTGCTTCTCGCCTCCAGTAGCCTGTATCGCAGCTTGTAGATGCTCGGTCACAAATGGCACGAGATTAATCCTATGCACGGGATCCGAGTAAATGAGTTCACGACGACGGACGTCTTCCGGAGCTTCACGGTCACGCGGCATTGCGACGGGTTCGGGGGGCCAGTGAAGGGCACTGTAACAATTCGTTAGCTAAGAAATATGTGACTAGATAGCAAGATATAGTAAGAAGAGAGGAGAAGTTGAAATAGGAGGAGGGAGGAATCACGCGGGGAGCACCGCATCGAGAGGGAGGTTGGAAAGGAACATACTCAGCGGTCTTATCATCCATCCCATCCAAAAGCTGCCCCAAAACATCAGTCCAAGCAACCATCAAACTCTGCAGTCTCCCCAAAATCCACCCCTGATTTGTCTCCATGAGTCTCGTCAAAACTAGACACATCAACTTCCGATTCGGCGGATCTCCGATGTTCTCAATATGCCCGAACCACTCTTCCAGCAGCCAATCCAGTGTCTTTTCCAAATCTCCCCCTAAAGCAGAGAGCGCTTCGAGAAGAACATTGGGAGACGCGAGACCGATGCGCGCAAGAACGGAAAAGTAGTCTGTCTCGACGACCCCGTCGACGGCGCGGGAGGGCAGTTCTCGGTTAGGACCGTGCGATTGGTGGTGTTGCCATGCGCCATGTAGACTTTCCATTACCCTGGCGAAGTAACCTGTGGAGATGAGATCGATAACGAGGACTTTGACGGCTTGCTCGCCGCCGAAGCCTTCTGCGCCTCGGATCACGTTTTGGACGAGGTGGGTGACAGTACCATTAGCGTCAGGTTTCAGATTACCGAGCAGATCTGCTAGAGCAGAGAGGAGGGGTTTGCGGAAGTTGTCTGCCAGAACAGAAGCGGGAGAGAGGAGGAGGTAAGATTCTGTGATTTCGATGGCTCTGCGGAGAGTATCATTGTCCATCACAAACAACGGAAGAAGGTACTGCGTCAAATTCAGAAGCTCGGACGGCGTTGGCTGGGGAGCGGAGGGTGTTTGTGCGAGAATGGATGCCCATAGATCCAGTGCATCTTCGAGGAGGTAGACTTGTGTTTCAGAGCCTGGCTCGATGGCGGATTGGATGATAGGGAGGAACGAGATGTGGAATGAGCGGGACTCGGCTTTCATGGCGTTCGTAAGACGGGTGAGGATCGTGAGGATGGCTTGTTTCATGAGGTGCTCTTCGCCGGATTGCTCCCAGAGCGGTGGAAGGAGGGAGATGATGCTGTTCGCGTAGGGTGTGATCTGTGGGTTGTAAGTGTTTGCTCCGGAGCTGGATTGAGAAAACCCATACGTTATGTTCAAGCCTCTCGACAATGACGCTGATCGTATTCAACAGAGCCATTTTTGTCTCTGGCAGCTCGACTTCTTGCACCAAACCCATCAACCGATTCAGCGTCTCGGGGGCATAGGGCATGAAATTCGCTGCCTTGAACTCCCACTCGTCTGCCACATCCTTGAGTTTCCTTCCCGCTGTAACTCGCACGACTTGATCATTGAGCGGATCGCTCTTGTCAAGCAGATGTTGATATATTTGATATACCACGGGTTTCTTGTCTTCAGACACCTTGACCCCTATCCACTGCGATATGACAATGGCGATGCGGCGTCGAATGATGTTGTACCCTTGTTTTTGCTTCTGCGCTTCCACGACAAGGGTCTGGGTGATGAATGTGTCGAAATCGAG